CAAAGATGTTCTTTGAGGTCACAAAGATGTTCTTTAGCGGTCGCAAAGATGTTCTTTAGCGGTCGCAAAGATGTTCTTTAGCGGTCACAAAGATGTTCTTTAGCGGTCACAAAGATGTTCTCAAGCGGTCGCAAAGATGTTCTCAAGCGGTCGCAAAGATGTTCTCTAGTGGTCACAAAGATGTTCTCTAGTGGTCACAAAGATGTTCTTTAGCGGTCACAAAGATGTTCTTTAGCGGTCACAAAGATGTTCTTTAGCGGTCACAAAGATGTTCTTTAGCGGTCACAAAGATGTTCTCAAGCGGTCGCAAAGATGTTCTCAAGTGGTCACAAAGATGTTCTCTAGTGGTCACAAAGATGTTCTTTAGCGGTCGCGAAGATGTTCTCTAGCGGTCGCGAAGATGTTCTCTAGCGGTCGCGAAGATGTTCTCAAGCGGTCGCAAAGATGTTCTCAAGCGGTCACAAAGATGTTCTCTAGCGGTCGCGAAGATGTTCTCTAGCGGTCGCGAAGATGTTCTCAAGCGGTCGCAAAGATGTTCTTTAGCTTTCCCGAAGATGTTCTTTAGTGTCAAAAGGAACATAAAAATAGAAACTTATATTTTTTTTCTTCGTTCTGCTTTTCAGGGCTGGGGAGCAGAGTACCATCGCCAGGATGTCACCAGCACTCCCTGCTGGATCGAGATCCACCTGCATGGCCCACTGCAGTGGCTGGATAAAGTTCTGACCCAGATGGGTTCCCCCCACAACCCAATATCTTCTGTTTCATAGGCCTCACTAACCCAGGCCTCTCCACACCCCAGCATTTCTGTCCAGGTAGGGAGAACAGCAGCCGACTGCTCCCAGATCAGTTTGTAGTTCAGTCAGCCTGGTTCTGACCGAAGGACCAACGGATCTGCGACCTGTGAGGCTGAGCGGGTTCTTACATGGCCGGTTCTACTTGAAGGACATCTGAGTGGGTCACATTACCAGACTGGGAGAGGAGAGAGCAGAAGGATGCAACTGGAAGACACTTGATCTTGTGACCAACGGTTTTATTCGACTGTCGCTCTCATGAGGGGAACCACATCCTCTGCTACAAGGACTTCTTCATCCTCCTGTTATTCTGACTCAGATTGCATTTCAATATTCCTGCCAAAATTCAGCTATATTTGTGTTGTTACCAGTTATGGGACATTCCAGGTCATCAGTTAGCTGATGTTTTCTGTCTGAATAAATACGATTAGCATCAAATGTGCAAAGTTACAGGTTTGGGGAACGACCCACATGTCAGAGTAATCTAGCTGTCACCGAGTGCTTAGAGGCTGTTATTTAAGGTAAGGTACCTGATGCATAAGGAGCGACAACTGGGTCTGGATGGAAGCTAAAAAAGCATTTTACACGTTGAAAGACTGAAACTGTCAGTGTCCATCCCCTGATCTTAGGTTAAAGCGAAAATAGCAGAAATGTTTACCATAAGAGAAGATGCTGGAGATCAGAGCATATTCTGGTTGGGATGGTGTGACACAGTGGCTGTTCCTCTGCAGCAGAACCGGCCCTGATGGACAGGATCTGGAACCGTACTGAGCGTAGTTACAGAAACACTGTTGATGGGAGCTGATGAGTTTCTTTTAGCAACAATTTCCCTCCATTTTAGCCCATGTCAGGTCTTTTTAACTCCAGAACCAAACATCATCCAGCCTGTCCTTTCCTTTCCAGCAGTGGGTCATTGTAACAGTTTTCAGAGTAAAGACTCAAAATATTTTTTCTTTAAAATAGTGAAGTGTTAAGTTTTTATCAAAGCTGAGGGGTTACTTACTTTTCTAAGACTTACAGATTGCTTCCAACAACATGGTAACTACTTTCCCAGAAGTCTGAAAGTATTTTTAGAAATTAGAGGTCACGTTTCTTGACCTTTTCAGAGCCTTTCAAGTCATTTTCTGGAGCTCAATGGTCATTTGTGTTCATTTTCCCAGAGCCCAGCTGGTATTTCTGGCATATCCAGAGTATTCTCCTTGATTTTACACATTTTTTTATACAACTTAATCATTATTTACATCAAATTAACCAGTTGGATCCAGAAATTTATTGGAAATAACCTGTAAGTACCAGAAATACCTAATAGTTGTTTTTTTTTTAAAGACAGGTGCTGTTAGGTGCCATGAAGCACCTGGAAGTTTTAGACGATACTTTGTAAACACACAGGAAAGTAACCAATTTTAGGGAAGGACAAGTTTGTGTTACATGTTGCTGTATGTTGTTTTGTTTTTTTACTGAGAGTCAGAAATGTTTTACTTTGAAGGCTTCACTGGTTTATCTTTTGGTCACTAGCCTCAGTTTTTACCTGATCTTCTAGTAGTTCAACATTGGATCCACCTAAACCTGTACACTGCAATAAATTGAAATCTAAGTCATTTCTTACTAATATAAGTGCATTTTTCTTGAATCGAGCAGGTAAGGTAGACACTTTGCAAATGGAATAAGACAATTTCCTTTAAAGGGGTCATAGAATGAAAAACCGAGTTTCCATTGTCATAGATGAATAACAGTAGTTCAGTCGGTGAAATGGACATACTGAGAAGTTCAAACCCCATCAATACCTCCTTTCTCTGCAAATCTCACAATTCTAAACTTCCACCATAAAACGGGCCAATCCAAACGAAGCACCGAGTTCATGTCAATTCAGGGATGTTGCCTTATTTGGTTCTGGCCTGTACTTTTGTCACGCCCCGAAATTGATGATGCACTGTAGTCGACCAAAATCCCGGACGATTTTGAAGTTCTCCCGGGTATTTTTTTTAGGCATGAAAAGTAGGACATGTCCGGGAAAAAGAGGACGTCTGGTCACCCTACCATATCAACAATTTTGATGTTTCAGTGAGTGAGTGCTTGTTGCTATGATGCGTCTTTGCTCAGCAGCTTCGCTCGTTGTAAACCAACCAATCAGCACACAGCTCATCTAAATATTCATGATCATACCATAAAAGGAAGAAAACCTGTCATTTCACTCTGGGGCTTTTAACCAGGCTTGCATTAGGGCTCATAGAACAGCAAATATGTTTTTTATATATATATTTTCAGCCCAATCAATGTCACACACCCTGTTCAGAGACCTTAATGCCCAGCACCAAATACCCTATAGACTCATTCTGTGACATCCTTTAAAATAAGAAAAAAAATTTCAAGTGAGTAATATCAAATTATGTATTTTTAAGGCTAGAAATGCTCATTCCTTTGGATGATCATCTTATTTACCTACTCAAATTAAGGGTAAATACACGTATTAAAACATTTTTACACATTTTAGGATTGTTTTTGCAGTGTGCTGGATTCGACCAAATAACCCCTGGTGTTTAAAAGCTGTTAATCTAAACAGCTCCCCGGATCAGCTGGGTCCCCTGGTTTGTTTCTTAATGGTTTATATCCGTTTCCAGTCTCTCTGTCTCCTTTTCCCCAGTTGCTTTTTAACTGGATTTGTCCTCAAAGCTGGTTTATTGGGCTGTAGGAACCAACAGGGAGGTTTGGAGAGTTTACAGATAATCTTCCATCATCATTTGACTTCGAGTTTCAATAAAACCTGGACAAAATGTTTGTTCTCCAGAAGTTTTTAAAGGTAGTGTAAATATTTAGTGTCTCTTATTAAAGTGAACAGAGCGAATTAAAACTGTTTTAGGGAAAATGTTGAGTGTCCAGATTTTAATCCATAACTAAGAAAAAGGTGTCATTTTCTAATGATTTTATTTTTTTTTATTAAATGTAAGTTTGCTATGTTTGTTTTGCTTTTAGCCGTCCTCTTTGCAGCTGAATTGTTTTACTCACAACATTCTTCTTTTTCTATTTTTGTCTGCACTTTCACATTTTTGCCTCTTTGCTGTCTTGTTTTTTTTTTTTTTTCCTGTTTTGCTCTGTAAAACTCCCAGAAAGCAGTTTTATTCCATGAATATAAAGTCTCTCCTGGAAGATTTAATAAAATTGTTTGATTAAACACAAACTTTTGGTTTTTGGTTACTGTCTCGGATTTACAGTATATTAAAGCTCAATGAGTCTTAATTTTGAATAGATTTAACCAGAAACAAATTACATAAATGGATAAATACCAAATACAATTTTTTCCCTCTAATACAGATGGTGACAGTAATAGTACTCTCAAGGGGAATATTCAAAACCTTTTAAATTTTTAATATATTAACAATTAATTACTAAAATGTTGTAGTTAATTATACACATCAAAATACTAACATTAAAGTTGATATACACAGAATTCATGCACATTTCAGAACTAAATTTTGAGTTAAAGGGGTAAAGAGAAGAATATGTCTCTGCAAATCATCTAGGAGTCTTCAGTGCAAAAAAAAAAAAAAAAAAATTAAATGGTAGATATTAGTACATGTACATATTAATTTTATGCAGAGCAATTTCTGATGTATGACTATGGAAAATATTTTTGCCCCAGAAAGTTTGTCCACTATACCTTTAATATAGACAGCATGAATGTTTAAATATATGCGTCTATTTGTTAGCAAAAGCTGTAGGAAAGTATAGTTTGTCTTTATTTAGATAATATGGATGTTGTTTTCGTTCCTGTTGGAACAGTGTAGATTTACCTTGTACATTGGTTACTACCTGGCCACCCCTATTAAAATGTTCTGGCTACGCCTCTGCAATGAACATGAAAAATTAACATCATCATAAACCATACTTCCGTTTTGCAGCTCTTGTGTAAATTATAAAAGCTTTTTTTTTTTTTTCTTAAGTTACCTTAATAAAGATATTTCCACAACCAATGGATATTTACCGGAATTTGGGAACAGAATATATTTTCCTATGCTGCCATCTAGTGGTTAAGATTGATAGTTACATAAAATATTTCGGATTAAAATATTTTACGTCGGTGTTTTCTGATTATTATATTAAAACAAGATAATTTGTTTATCAATAACCTGTAACGGAAAGTGAAATGTTTTAAGACTAATTTAATTTTATTAATTTGCTTGAATTTATAAACGCCCGTGACGTCAGCGGAAACCGGAAGAGAGCGAACCAAAGATGGCTGACATGCTTCTGAGCGGCTGCTGGGAGGTCACAGAGTAAGTGGAGTTTCTGGTCTTTGTTGATATTTTGATATTAAATGTCACTACAACAGTTATGTGGCGTAAATACGTCATAGGATGACGTCGAGGTGAACCGCTGGTTCAATTGGTGGATGAAGAACCGCACATTAGAAGTCAAAGAACTTGGTTAGTTGTTGGGTAACATGGTCCACAGTCCTTTTTTTTTCCAGACTTCTGGTTCTGATTCTTCCTGCTTCTCTCCCAGACATCCTATAATCGCCTGAAAATGAGGCGGCTTGGTGTCAGTCTCCTCCGCCTCTTCTGCCGGCCTCCATCCAGCTGCCTGCTCCACAGCAGCGCCCCTGTTAGCCAGCACATCCAGGACCTGAGTGGGCCTGAGCACAGACTGCTGGACAGACTGTATGAAGGACTGATCTGCGGACAGAGAGCCTCCCTGGCTGAGTCCATTACGCTGGTGGAGACCCAGCATCCCAGGAAGAAGGAGCTGGCTCAGGTCCTGCTGCAGAAGGTGCTGGGCTTCAGGAGGAAGCAGGAGAGCAGCAATGGAGGGAAGCCAGTGGCCTTCAGAGTAGGTGAGTGCTAGAGCTGAACGCTACCATTTATAGGTTTACTCTAAGGGAGCTTTTCCTCTCCACTGTCGTTGCATGCATGCTCGGAGTGAGTGATTGCTGTGAAGTCCATATCTACTGTCTGCCTGCTCATCCAGGAGAGGATCCTGTAAAATCAGTGATTTCCTCAGAAACTCTAAACTTTTAATCTGATTGAACTAGATCTATAGTGACCTGTTATGACCTGTTAACACGTGCTATAGAAATTAACTGAACTGAATTGAATGAAGGACCCACCATTGTCACCAGATGGTTTTAACCATCATTGTGATCTTAAGTTAACATGTTAAACTCTAAAGCAGAGGTCTTCAACAGGGGGTCAGTGACCCCTAAGGGGTCCATACAGGTACTGCATGAAAGTTTTGGTTGATTAGATTTTTTCTTTTCTGCATTTTTTTCCACAAACTGAAATGTCTTTAAATCCACATTAACAGGAATTCAACACACAGTTGTAAACAGATAAATGGAGGCAGAAGATGTCTTTCAGTCATCAATGCACACATTCAGCGACACGCAGGAGCTCTTTCAAGCTGGGCACCGTTTCATTCACAACACCTGTCCCATCAACCAGGAATCAGAATCAGAAATGCTTTAATAATCCCACAGAGAAATTACTTTCATTAGAGTGACTATAGGACCAGTTTGATAGAACACAATTTCATACAATATATATATTTACCAGGCCTCCGCTCCATCTCGCCATTAGTTTGGGGGTCCTTGGCCTTAAACGTTGAAGACCTCTGCTCTGAAGGTATAGAGGAGGATGTTCTTTTTCCAGGTGGATCATCTAAATAAGTGGTCCCCCTAATTGTCAATCATTCTAGTGATATGTTTATGTAAGACCCTCCTACGTGCTCGTCCCCATTTTCACCTTCACAGTCTGACATAGTGGAAAAACTACAAATCTTCTTTTGGAAAGTAAGCTTGTATGATCGATGCAAAGAGTAAGTTTTAAACAGAGCGTGCACGAGGAGGAATGGGATCGTCATCACATGAAGGAGGAGCATCGAGGTCCAGGTTCTCGGTTTAAACAAACACAAAGAAAATATCTTTATCCAGCATTGATGCATCAAAAACATGTTGTTAAAGTTGATCTTTTTAATAAGGACAACAGTTTCCATGTTTAATCTGCACACCTGTCACTATTGAGGCTAATGTCCGTCCTTAGAAGAGTCTTCAAAAAAACAAACAACTAATGAAAATTTACAAATTCACATCAAACCAAAGTCCAATTTAAACTCAGTTCATCTTGGATCAAAGGTGGCTGCCATGTTTTCCCTTTTAAAACTCGTTCTGCTAATTTTAAAAAATCAAAGGTCGGGTTTCCAACCACCCAC